AGCAGGAAGAAATGTTTCTGTAGCTGTGTTGATCACACCAAAAAACAGTTCAGTCCATAGAGTAAAAAGACAAATTGGTGTCCTCTAGTGGCCCGTCAGTTTTGAGCATTTCCTTTAGTTCAGAAAGCAATTAATGAGAGAAGGTGCCTGTGGGGACTGTTGGATGCACAGAAATTGCCTCGGGCTCAGGTAGCCCAGAGCTGCAGATCAGCAGAAACCAAGATGGTGCAATGGGAAAAACACTGCTGGAAACTTGACTTGTTGTTATATTGTCCCCAAAGCTGCTGGTCCTGTTGGAGACAGGACATGAGCTAGAAGAGCCTTTGGTTTGATCAATGTATTTGCTATTAACAGAAGACCCCAAAGCTGATGGATAGTGAGCTATCAGATCCCCTAGACTGACTCTTACTCTTTAGTAGACTAAAAGATGTGAAATTTGAAAAGATCTCTCCTGGGGTACTGCTGCATTTTCCATCACTCTTTGCAAAAACTTGAGCATCCTTTTGTGCTCTGTGGCATTTCTTTCTTGACAGCCACTCACCAGAAAGCGGTTGAAAGTCTGTGAAGATAAAAATGTTCAGCCAGACGCAGCTCGGCGTGCTCAGCTCCGTAAGGAAAGCAGACTTTCTGCATCCACTTGCCCTAAAGCCAGAGAATCAGTTTGCACAGACTGAGATAACCTCAGAGAACGTCCGTGTTAATCCCAGTCGTATATGCAGAGCCATGAAAACCGATCTATTAATTCTGGTTAGACTTGCAGTCCGATTACTTCATCTAATTGGATAGCTATTGAGCAAAATAAGAAGGAAGAAGTAGCTTAAGCAAATCCATTAGTTGCATTTAGCATGAAGAGCACAGAGGGGAATAAGCAAACATCATCTGGGAATATTGCAGTTTTCTGCATTTTTTCCCACTCAGCTTTGAAGTAAATCAGACATTTGAGGCCCACATGAGGTTGAGTCTGGAGTGTTTGTGTCAAGCACTGTGTCCAGTTCTATCTATCAGGTACCCTGGCCAGAGCGATGTGAGTGGTTTTCCTCTCCTTGCAGGTGACTTCTTAGGAAGAGGAGGTACAGCTTACAGGAAAATCCTGGGTTTCTATGAAAGAAATACTTTGTACTTCATCCTATGCTTGAGATATGATCTTTGTCCCCTGCCTGAGTTTAACCACCACTAATGAAGCCATCAAGAAACAGAGTGAGACAAAACAAGTGGTCTCAAAGAACTCTTTGGTGCCAGAGTTGCTCCTGCAGACCTGCTCCTGCAAAGGTGACAGGATAGTACTGCATTTACCTAGGTGATCCCAGAATTTGGCTGGAGGTACAGGAAAAAGGAGAAAGAAAATTAGCATTTGCACTGAACAGAATGCAATGCCAAGTGCCTGAGGTCTCAACTTCACACTGCAGTTTCCCTTGAAGGTCACAGAAGCTTCTTTATTCTGCAGCAGCCCTGCCCCTCCTGGCCTCGCGCACCATTATCTCCCCTCGTGCCCTGGGCACCATATCCTTTAATTGAGGGCTGAACCGAGAAGCCGGCTTTGTGTAGGCCAAGTTTCAAGCAGAGAGATAAGCAGTCCCAGCAGGATCGTCCAGGTTCTGCTCTTTGCCCTTGGCATCAAGCCCAGCTTTCTGGCTGCTGCTGGTTTTCTCCGGGTGTGATAAGCAGAGGCAGTCCTGGCTGGAGCACCCGCATCTCGGATGCTCCCGCCGCCGCGTGTGTTTGATCCTGCCGCTTGGAACCTTAGTGCTGTGTTGCAAAATACAGGTGGTCTCTGAAACAACCCTCTTCCTTTCCATCTTGTGTCTCCCTGCTCCCTGTTCCACATGTGTTCAGGTCTTTGGCAGTTTCTGCCAGCCAGATGCTCAAGTGAGTTCTCTGCCGTTAAACAGAGAGATTTTATAACCTGTAACAGCTCAAAAATAGAGGGCTCTTCTGGTATGAGTCTTCCTCCTGCCCGTCCAGGTCTAATTCATCACAAGATCGACACCTCAAAACATGGATGAGCATCTCCTTACTGGACACTGGGGCAACCTGCCCAGATAGGGTAGATGAAGTGATGGAGAGCTGGACTAAAATTTGGTAAAAAAAAAAAAAAAAATCACCATCGAGATTTCTCTGAAGCTTTTGGCACTTCGCCGGCTGCAGCTCTTGTCTCAGGAGCTCTCACTTTATCTGGTGTCAAAAGTTTGCTGGAGGCTGAAGTTGATAGGCTTGGTTACTATGGAAGGGTAAGTAGCAGTAGGCAACTTTTTAGCCAGCTTCTTGCCACCATCTGTCTTCCTTCAGTTGGTTTTGTGAGGCTTTTAGATGAGATATCTTGTTTCCTTAGCTGGGCATAGAGTGATTTGGAGTAGTTAGGAAGGACCTGAAGGGTAGAGGCGACGTGGAACACTTTTCTTCCAAACAGGTAGGAGCCCTGGGACAAAAAGGTGCCAGGATGCAGCGAGTCCCTCCGTAGTGTAGCCAGCTCCATGCCATGCAAGTCAGCTCCGAATCCTTCCTCTCCCAACAGCTGCATCAACAGTCCTGCTGGTTAAGGAAAGTGGTTAGTCCATCAGATAAGCGACTTGTCTGTGACTGCTTAAATGATTTAAAAAAAACAGAATTCAATCAGCAGTAGTTCCTTCCTTCGTCTCCCAGGCATGCACAGGGAAGAGCACGTGGGTTTCCTGACAGGATGGAAGCTGCTTTGGTGGCAAGCTAGGGTGGTTTTTCTGTGCTCGACCTCAGGATTGCTCTTCTCGGATGTTTCCCTTCCTGCCTTCCCTCTGCTCGGTGTCTGTGCTCTCCCTACCAAGAGGGAGCAGGGATGGAGCCTGTCCAAAAAGCAGCTCTCCAGCCCTCCCTATTTCTTGACACTCGCCGTATAAATCCCCAGCACAGGGTTTGGCTTTAGTCTCACTGGGAAGAAGTCTCCTGTGTCCCCAAAAATGGCTGGTGTCCATGTGGCTTTTACTGCTTTGCTGTTTTGCCTTCTGCTTTTATGTTCTGTATCTCCCTGTTGCAGCTCTGACTGTGCTCGCCCTGCCTCGTCGGGCTTTATTTGTGCCGTGTCCTCTGCCTGTTGATCGATTGCCCTCTGTCCATAACGCCTCCCATTTAAGATGCTGCCATTGAAGCTGCCATTCAAGTTCACAGGAGTAGTTTAAATCCCTAAATTTTCCCCTCTGAAGAGCAGAGAGAAATTTAATGGAGAAGAATGGCAGAGAAGAGTTGAATTGGGGCAAAGATCTACAGAAAAACACACATACACACTCACACACACCCCCTTTGGCTGCATTGAAGCGGCAGAGAAGAGTTGAATCAGGGTAAAGATCTACAGAAAAACACACTCACACACACACACACACACCCCCTTTGGCTGCATTGAAAACAGAGCCAGCATCAGAGCCGTAATTCAGGTGACCCAGCGAGGAGGGATGTGAGCTGTGACCACTCTTCACTACACAGGACTGCTTTAGCTTTAGCAAAGGAATTAAAAAGAAAGAGTTTTAGAGCAATGTGCAATTGCCAGGCTTTGCTAGACCTTTCTGAAGGCTGCCGTGTCCTCGGCGTGGTGTTGGGCTTCCCTTGCGTGCATGCGAGCTGCTGCCCGTCTTGCACTCACTGCTGCTGATTTTTCTTTTATTATTCCTCCTTCACTGCTGGTGAAGTAAATCCACGTTTCTGTGCCCCTTTTGTCTCCGTGCCGTTTTCTCTGTATTTTCTTTCTGTCCTTTCCTGTCACTCTGCAGAATCTCCACCAGCTCAAACAGATTCACACTCTGAGGCAGATGAATGAGCAACTGCTGGCGGAAAACAGGGCTCTGACCCGGGTCGTGGCCAGACTCTCGGTGTCTGCCAGGTCCCCCGAATCAGAGGAGCTGTAGCTGCTTTCCCTCCGGCTCATCTCGCCTCCCTCTTCCACCCTTCCAGGCAGGTCTCCGCTCTGCTTCTCCGAGGTGTCCCCCACCTCGCTGCTCATGGGGGTCTCATGAAGCTTGTGGCTCCAACCCGGCATGTGGCAAAGGGGTTTTTGGCAGCTAGAAAACCCAAAGCCTGGTGTTCCCTCCCCGCTTGGGCAGAGGGTCTCGGCGCAGACCGTTTGCATTGAGCTGTGCTGATTTGGGCTCGGCTTAGAAGATGCTGAGCTTGGCCGTTTTACTAACCACCCGCTGCCAAAGGTTTTCCCTTTTGGAGCACATCATCCCGAGGAGATCAAGGAGGACGTGTCCATCCCCGCTCCGGCGGAGACGCTGGAGCAGATGGCACCAAAAAGGGTCCTGAGGAGCAGGAGGTCGGCAGCTTCCCGGTCCCTTAGCCCTGGCTGATGGCTGTGGGGTGACTTGTAAGTGCCAAGAGGTCAGACAACATCCCCTTCCCCACAACTTTATCTCCAAATGTGTGTGTTTCATGGCAAGTGTCTGATCATAATGGAACTCTCACTTAATTTGACTTACTTCAGTGAGAAACCGGCACCTAGGAAATAATCTTATCCAAAGCCAGAATTAATAATTTAATGCATTTCGGGGGATATTATGAAATATGCACATCTTGAGCAGGAAGGCGATTTAAAAAAAAAATCCACTTCTCAGCAGATTTTCTTGATCATTTGAGTAAAGAAACAAGATCCTCCCCTCATTTTAAAGAGTTTTTTTTCTCTGAAATTATGTGCTGCAGCATCTCCTCTGCCTTCTGCGGGCTGGCTACAAGGAAGGTAAAGAGATAGGAGACAGACCGGGTGCTTTTTCATCTTTCGTCTTGTGTTTTAAATTCACCGCAGAATAATTAGTGTTTGAAACCCAAGGATGAGCCTTCGGTAAGCTTGATGCTCATGTGCACTGCAGTGAAATTTCATCCTTTCTTGCTGCATCCTTGCTTCAGTGCTGAAGTAGCACAGAAAAAAGCTTCTTCCTCCAAGCCTACCAGGATTTTGCAGGTTAGTAGGGAGGTGTCCAGGCCCCTTTGGACAGCTATTTTATTTAAAGAAATGAAGCAGTGTGCTCTAATGGGCTGGAAGTGGCACTAGGGTATGGAACAAATCTATTCTTAGAATACAAATTATAGCAAAAATGATTAATCATAGAAACAAACCCACCAGGGGAGCTGTGGCTTCCCATTTCCAGGAGTCTCAAATCAAGACAAACTGTTTTTTCATACACATGCTTGTGGGCTGAGTACGTGAGCCAGCGTTCAACATTTTCTAGCCCAAATAGTGCAGATGGTCACATTCAATGATCTCATCATCTTTCTGCTTCAAATCTCCGAAAACATTCTTGAGTTTGTCACAGACTCATTTATTATCATTAACGGTGACTTTAAGTTACTCTCTTGCCTACCTTGCTTTGAGATCCCGGAAGGAGAATTTACCAAATTCCCTCCAGACTTGGGGAAAAGGTATTTTGCAAATTTAAGTCACATATTTTGCTTTTTCTGCTTGGATATAATCACATTATCACCGCTAACGTCCTCTCTCCTCCGAAGGTGCCTCCTCCTTTTCTCCCGTGCAGACTGCAGCCCTATAGAAATGTTCACAGCTTGTGCTTTGCAGTTTGCTGCTTCGGGCCGAGCTGAAGCAGGGTTGTGCATCTGCCAGCTCACCTGGTTATTGTTTTTAATCTCTTCTAGCAGATGTAATAAAGGGTGTTACTGCTCCCCGTAGACCTTGTCTCGCTTGGGCCCTTGGCCGTGGCAGCCGTGACACTGTGACAGCCGCGCTGCTTCCTCAAGGATCTCGTTTTTCCTAAAATCCGCGTCACTTTTTCCTCCTCTTGGGAGGAATGAAATATCGCCAGGTTGGCCTTCACTTCCCAAATGCTTCCCTGTGAGCTGATGGAGTCCCGCTGCAGCCGTGAGACTTTTCCCGACGGGAATGCTTTGCGCGTGGTTTCGGTCCTTGCTATCCCCATTAATTGGGGTTGGATTTGTGGCTCTCTGACGTTGCCTACGGGAACCCGTGGCAGAGTTGGCTCTTCCAAAGCCTGGAAAGAACGGCCAGGATTTCAGAGCACTCTCTTACCAGAGCGAGGGACACGTTCAAGATGACAGGGCTCCCCGAGCAGGGATGTAGAGAGGAGAGGGACAGTCCGACGTCAGACTGTGCTGGGGGTTAAAATACCTCCAGGATGTTGGACTTGAAGGCCGTGTGCTTTTGTGGGGAGTTTAGAAGAGGCTGAGGAGCACGTGGAGACACGCAGTGACACAGCGGGTGTTCTCCCCATTTCGCTGTAGCCTCTTGGCACTTTGGTGAGGGCCGATGCCTGTCGCGCAGTGGGGACTGCGTGTGCCTCCCCCTGGGGAGCCACCTCATCCCGTAGCATCGGTACCGGCGGACACGGGAGAGGACAGGGCTGTTCCGTGGGGAATAACAACCAGGATTTCGTGTTTGGGGGGATCCCTGTGTCTCTGAGATCCGCAATGATGTAGACAAGTCATCGCGCTGCTTGTGCCAGGGCCGTTCGTGCCTGCATGTGACCCCAGCCACCCTGCGTGTTCCTGCCAGCCGCCCGCGGGGCTCTGGCACCCCTCATGAGTGCTGCACCTTTCACGTTACGTCTTTCGTGTTGCTCCTTTAGTGTTACACCCTGAGACAGGGCACGTGGGCTCTCGGGAATCTCCTTCCCATTCCCGAACGGATGGGGACAGTGCCGTGGAGCCGTCCGCTGAAGCGCCTACATTGTGGGAAATGGGGGGATTGGGGCTTGTTTGGCCAATAGGAAATGCTGGAAAGGTTTTGTCCAAGTGATTTCTTCCTACATTTCCCATAAAAAAGCATTCTCAATTGGGGTTTTGTTGCAACCCCTGTTTTAACTCCAGGACTGGACACTGAGCACCCCCGAAGTGTCTCCCATGTCAGTATGTTCTTCCAGTCCTTCAGCCACAGCATGAGTGTTTGCATTAAGTATCTGTGGGAGCCCAAGGAGATTTGTTTTTATTCTAAAAGAGACTTTGCAACCCAAGGTCGGTCCAGTTTTGAGTCAGAAATCCAGAGTGGAGAGATATTTTCTTTCCTGGCAAAATTGAAAATAAGTTATTTGAGAAAATTGTCCTGATGGTTTGCTTTTCTGCTGAGCCCTGACTAGACCCTGGGAACAACTTGGGGATGAGACAACTTGGGGAAGGTCCTTGTCCTCCCAGCCTGGTCCTGACCTGGTGCTGCAGCGATTCCAAGGGCTCCCTTGGCTCCTGGGCCCGAGGCCCCCGTGTCCCCTCCACCCTTACGTCTCCCTGAGAGCCAGGCCTGAAAAAACATGGGGACGTCCCGGAGAGATTCCAGCAGCTTGGAAGGCCCCGGGCGCTCCGAGGCGCAACCGTATTGGGAAGGTGGTGGCCGTGGCCCCGGCGCCTCCGCGCTGTCCCCGCGCCGGTGTCACCCGCTCTCACCCGGCTCTGTCCTTCTCTTGTCTTTCTCTTTGTGCAGATTTTGACAGAGCTGAAGTCGGACAACCAGCGGCTGAAGGACGAGAATGGGGCGCTCATCCGGGTCATCAGCAAGCTCTCCAAATAGGAAGCCCGAGCAAAGGCAGGACGAGGAGGGGTGTCCTACACAAGCTGCCAACCCTGCCACCAAGCCCTCCCCAGCCCTCTTCCTCCTGCCCAAAGTGCAGCGAGCATTTCAGCCATGGGATCAATGTGTCACGCCTGCCTCGCCCTGCCCTTTGCTGTGCATTCCCCTATTGCCCTTGCTTCCCCCACAACACACGCCCTTGCCATTTTATTATTTTTAATTTAAGCACGTCGTGGTATCTCGGACATTTTACTCGGGGGAGAAGAGAAACGTCAGGACTGGGTTTGAGCTGCCAAATTTTTTTCTTCCCGAAGCCCAGTGTTCAGTGCCCGACTCCGGTCTGGAGCAGGTAGCTTCTGCTTTTCGAAGCGATGCAGAAATACCTAAGGAAGGAATCCAGCATGTCCAAACCCTTCATAGGTGAGGAATGTGAACAGGAGCCGTGGCTCTGTGAATGCATGTCAGCTGCCCACCTAAAATGTAGGACTCTGCTTAAAAAAAAGATGCCGTGAAAGACACGAGGCTGATTTCTGAGACAGGCTGGTGAGAGCTGCTTTGCACAGAGACCTTCTCCTCTTGCCCCGGTAGACCAAGTCTTTTTATTTAATGTAAGATGTTGAATCTGCTCAGTACCGTCAGTGCCGCATCTCAGCATCAGCCCCTGTGGCTCTCACCCCGCTCGGGCTCTGCCGTCCGGGTGATTCGGTACCATCTTTCCAGGGCTCCAGGCTTTCCTGTCTCCGGTGCTGTGCAGTCAGCAGCATCTGCTAATGGCGCCTGGACTCTTGTCCCTTGGGTTGGAGGTGTCACAGACACTGGCCAAGGTTTCCCAAGGAGGAGCTTAAACCAGTAGGGATCATCTGCAACTTCCACATCCATCTGTTTGAGCTGGGCGTGAATCACCTTGCAGGTAGCTGTGTCAGCACAAGAATCCAACCTCCCTTTCCTGACGGTGGTCTGGAATTTGTTCCCGATAAGCTGTTCCATGGAGGAAGAGCCGTGTAGAGGAGTCGGGTCAGATATTTCAGGTGCTTGGCCTTGACATTCAGCGTGAGATTAACCAAAGGAAACGCAGCGCTGTTGTGGTTCGGGGGATGGAGATGAGAGAGGGGACGATGGAGGCAGCGTCCGCCGCGCATCCCTCAGCGAGAAGGACGGGACACGGCCGGTGTCAAGGCACAGGAATGTGGAGCAGGGGCCGTTGGCCTCGCAAAGGTGTGCGGGCATCAGGGCAGGAAGGAGCGACCCCGGGCGTGTTGGTAGCCCTATCTCTAGGGTGGAAGTCAGAGGCTGGCAGTAAGACTTGACCTTGAGGGAGGCCTCAAAAAGCTCTTTTGCGTTATCCGGACTCGGAAGGGTTTGATTCTGTTCCCCCATGGGCATTTGGATGGTGCCTCCTCCGCGTGATTTTGATGACTAGCAGCAGTAATCCGTCATCAGACCCCCTGAGCTTCCTCCTCATAAACTCCTCGCAAAAGAGACCTTCCCTTTTCAGAGACTTCTTCCCGTATCCAGGCCTCTTTCCCCACCACTTCCACATGTTCTTTCCTTTGCCCTTTGATGACCCAGTTCCGTGAGGCTGAGGCTTAGGGTCGCAGTCATTGAACTTGTAGGTCGCCATGAAGAACCGTTCCCTACGTTCCCAGGTGTTTCTGCTGACTTTGGCATGCAGATCCCGAGGGGTGGTCGGGATCTTTCTGCTACGAGCAACATGGATGTGGTACCTGAACACGAGTGTAACTCCTGAGCTTGCTCAGCAGGGTAAAAGCTCCTGGGCTTTTGGAGACCGCTGGTTATTGCTTCAGGAAATACATGAATTTTCTGCTCCCTGGCTTTTTTTCCTTCCTAAATCTCCATTTTTTGTCCTTCCCCTCCCCACCCTGCCTGTTACCCTCTCTGGTCCCTCGAGAGCTGCCAGTTTTCCCAGGGCAGGTCTAGCCAGAGCTTCGTGTCCCGCCGCGCGGCCCGCGGAGGCCCTGGCCCGGCGCGTTGGAGAGGAAGAGATCGGAGCAGCTCGATGGCATCAGGGTTCTGCAGCGCACGGGCAAGTCCAGGCATCCTTTCCGCCTCCTTTACCTCGACCCTGCTTGATTTCACCTCTGCGTTTGGTGACGCTGCCGCGTTGCGGCTCTGCTCCCCGCTGCCGCCGCGGGGACACCTGGAGCTCGGGTTGTGCCTCCCCAGCGGGACGAGGGACAGGAGCGGCGCAGGGAGCCTGGTCTCATGAGGGAGGTCGCTGGAGGGGTGAAGGAACCTGGTACCTGTCTAGGGAGAGGGTTCAACCCTCTCTGGCAAATCCCTCTTGCACTGACATTTTGCCCCTTCCTACCAGGCGACTCCTGTTGCGTTTTATCCTAAGGGACAATAGGCAAAGGGTGCAGAGGGCTGAATCTCCCTGCGTGGCACCTTCCAAAGCCAAACCACTTTAGATGAAGTGTCTGCTTCGCACTGGATTCGCATCCTTAAGCTCTGATTAGCTGATAGGACCCACCAATATGTAGTCTCAGTGACTAGCCAAAGCTGTGAGTATTTTCTAAGGACAAAAGTTAAGTGAAAACCAAATTCTTGCAAATGACTTTTGGTCTCAGTTAACCCTGGCTGACCTAACCAGTGCACTGAGGAGCTAAAATAGTAGGATACCTTGTGTCTGCACTTGGGACAGAGTGCAGAGCAAGCCGGTTTTAAACCTGATCCCTGTTTGAATCCAGAGCGTTTGCCAGAGGTGCTCTCCCTTGGAGAGCACGGAAGTTTTTTTTGTTCTTTGTTTTTTTTCTAAGCAATTGCTTGGGGTGAATTCCTTTTTATTGCTTGGGGTGAACCCACCTATCGCAGCTGCGAGTTTGAGGGCTCGTTGTAAATAAACTCCTTGGAGAAAGCAGGACTGAGCTTATGAGATGGGGAGAGAATGTATTTTTATGCAACTTTGAGTGGCCTTTCAAACCCTGAGATGAATGATTTGTTTTACTGGTTGTTGTTATATAGTATTATAAGTATTACGTGTTTGAAAGTTTGGGAATAATATTCACATCTATGATGCTTGTAAACACGACAGTATTTATAAATGAATAAAATAAGAGTTGATAAAATAGAAACTTGGACTTTGCTTCCGTCTTTCCCCACGAAGGACCAGGTGGTGAGTGTGGATGAGGAGCAGAGCCGGCCGCGGGTCTGGTGGTGGCCGGTTGGGTTCATTAACCTGTAACTTCCAAGACGAAACTAAAAGCCCAGAGGATCCTTGTGAGCTCCTCGTTCTTTTCCCTATGTCCCCGTTTTCTCCAGAGCTTTGCTTTATTCAGCGCCTGTTTTGCAGTAGGGGTATCTGAGCATCTGTCTCCCAAGGGCCACCTGCAATTCGGGCTCTTGTCGTCGCGGCGTCGCTGCGAGAGCCTCGTCCCAGATCGGCTGAAACGTCAGCGCCGACCCGAGGGCCGAGCGCGGGGAGCTGCTCTGAGCCGGCTGCGAAGCCCTCGAGTCCCAGCAGAGCCGCCGAGGTCACGGGACAGGGACACCCGGGACAGGGACACACGGGACAGGGGACTGCAATGCGGGAGGCCTCTTGGACATGGAATTGGAGGGTTTAGGAGCCAGATGCAAACCACTAAAACGGCCAAGCGTTTCCCTGCCAACGGCACCGTCCCGCCGCGATGCTGGAGCTCGCGCTCCCCGTGGGAGCTCCGGCTGAACCGTGAGCGCCACAGCCCTGTCTGCACCCTGGGGCTCAAGGGAGGTTGCTGGGAAGCTCCGCGTGGAGGCGGTTACTGCAACCCGAGCGCCTGCGCTGGGGGGTCGTGGGTGCCCAGGCCAAATCCGCATCCTGAATGTGAGCCCGATGCGAGCGCAAGGACCCAAACGGTGGCAGTTGGGG